ACTGAATTAATAGAGTATCAAAATTTAAACAAAAATCAAAAACAGGTTTTTGATCGAATAGAAATACATTACAATAATATACTCACATGTAATCAGGTTGAACTGTTAAGAATATTAGTTATAGAAACTGCAGGTACAGGTAAATCATATCTCATTAAGGTAATACAAAAGTGTCTTTATAGTATAATAGGTATAGAATCGAAAAGTTCAGTATTTGTGATTGCACCTACTGGAGTCATTGTATTTAATATCAACGGATTAATAATACATTCAATACTATCTATCTCATTTATCAGTGATAATAATGTTGACTTAAACAGCAATAGAATAAAGCAATTACAAGAAAGTTAAAAGATGTCACTTACTTTATTATTGATGAGAAAATTATGGTAGGTCAACGAATGCTTGGATTGATGCACAGTTAAGATAAGCATTTCCTAATAATAGGAATAAACCTTTCGGCAGAAGATCTATTATAATGTTTGATGATTTTAGGCAGCTTCTGCCAGTGCTCGACTTTCTAATATATGTAATAAATGCATCATATAATACAATATCAAACAATGGAATAGCATCATATAAACACTTTTAAGAAGTGTACAAACTTAATATTGTTCAATGGCATTCAGGAGATTCTAAAGAACAATAGAGCTTTAAAGAAATACTTTTATAGTTAAAGAAAGAAAATTGCAGCCTAAATGATTGGAAAGTACTAACTATGAGATTTGAAGAAAATTTAAATAAAAATGAGCGGGATTGATTCTCAGAAGCTGTATTCATACAAACAAGATGAATTGATGTTGATAAAATCAACAATGAAATACTCAGATCTTTGAACTAACCAATAGCCAAAATAATTGCGATATATACAGGTGGATGGGATGCTAAAAAAGCTGACTCTAATGTGGTAAAGGGTCTTGAAGCCCAATTGTTACTGGCAAAAGATACAAGAGTTATGCTAATGGCAAATTTATGGACTGAAGGGGGATTAGTTAATGGATCAATGAGAATCGTAAAAGATATTATATATGAGAAACATGAATCATCTTCACTCTCTGTAGCAGTATTTGATAAATTCGAGACATATAATAGACCTACAATACAAGCTTAGAAGGGGATGAAGTTGTTCTAATAGTACCTATCAAATGTAGTTAAGAAGGTAAAAGTAGGTTGTGTTCTCAGATTCAAATGCCAATATGTCTCGCGTAGGCAATCACAATGCATAAGAATCAGGAACTGACATTAGAAAAGGCTAAAATAAATCTTAGAAACAAAGAGTTTGCTATTGGTCTTTCATTTGTTACGTTATCACGAATGTATTCACTCAATGATATTTACTTCAAGGAGTTTAGTTATGAAAGACTTGAACGTATTAAGAGCTGCAAAAGACTATAAGAAAGGATAAAAGAAGAAAAGCAGTTAGTTTTATGATAGCGAAATAGCACAGAAATGAAATATTAGCGTTTTTTTATTTTCATTTCTTGAAAAGGCAATTTTTTTATTTATTGTTTTATTTCTTGTTCTTTCTCGTGAAGGAAAATTTTTATTTTTTTTCAAAATAAAAAATAAAATTGACAATGCGAAATTCTTTTTTATTGATCGTGTAACTTAATTTTTTTTGGGTAGATAGAAAACTGGTATAGTATGATTCACTAGACCAGTACAGTACAATTATGCTGATCAGTATTTTTTGCGAATTTGAATTGTATCGTACTGTACCAGTAGTATATATAGAGCTTTTATTATAGGACCAATATGGTACAGTATGGTATGACCCTTCATAATAGACATTGATAACACAGTGAATTTATTATAAAGTTTGTAATATTTTAAAATTAAAAATTTTAACCGATTATTGATTATATTCCTTTTTATTTTAATAAAAAAAATAATAATAATATAATCATTTTTTATTGAAAAACAAATGCATCATAATAAAATAAATTATTGTTTTGTAATTAAATTATTTTAATTTTTATGTAGTAACGCTTTTCTTTTTAATTTAATTTAATTAAAGTTATTTTGACAAACATACTGTTGAACTTTATGTCAGAAATATAAATTTTAAGATTTTAATAATAATGCAGTATAAACCAGAATGAATTTTCTAAATTCATACTGTACCGTACTGGTTCTATAATAATACTTTATATATAGGACCAGTATAGTACAGTATGATTCAAATTTCTTGTGAAAAAATACTAATCTGCATAATCGTACTGTACTGGTCTGGCAAATCATACTGTATCAGTTTTTTATATACTCATTTTTTTTATCGTGCAACAATTATGCAACTATAGGAACTAATTATGTATCGACTCATACTTTGAGCAGGCAGACAGACGGATATTTTGTGTTACTACAATCTAAATATATATAGTCCTTCGCTTTGTTCTAGACTAATTACTTATTTTTTTAATATGCAAAAGAAAATTTTTTTCTGAGGATACTCAGATTCCTATAAAATTAATTTTTACCATACTTAATGAAAGATACTAAATTTTCTGCGTCACTTTTCGATATTGAATATGAGTCATAAGAATCAGATCCCCCCTTAGGCTTTTTTTTTTAATCGTTTTTAAATTTTTACTTCATTTATTTACTTTATTTATTTTATTTATTACTATTTATTTATTTTCATCCTAATTAAAACAAAAGATAGATTATATAAATATCACTTATAAAAGTGAATCAGAATTTTATTTCAAGATGTATTAATATATAAATTAACCCAATCATTGACTCTGATACGAAATAACGAGTTATAACTAGTTATTAAATATAATTAAAAGATTATTATATTTGTATTTGCTATTATATTTACCTTCATCATTGAAAACTGATTCTATATTCGAATTTGATAAAATTTAATATTTAACAAGAAAATTGAGTATAATTAACGAATTAGAGTGTGGTAAATAATATATATATTATTTTTTAATAAGGAAGTTTTTTTAGAATCCGAAACTGGCTCTAATGTAATTCATGAAAAAAAGTAAGATTTTATAATATCATTAGGGTGTTACACCGATTAATTAATCAAACTATATCTGCTAACTATAAAAATTTATATATTGGAGATTTTTATAGTTACATAACAATCAAATTAAGTTTGGATACCTTTCTATCATTAGTAATTGAAGGATATTTTGATAGATTAATAGCAATTCATCATCATTCATCTGTGCAAGTTCTTTGTTTATTTCAAGAATTAATATTTTTTCTGTTAGGTAGATCTTCGCATATTTACAGAAATTTGTTTTGCTTTGCGCAATTTAATTTTTCTTTTAGAAACCTTTAATATTCTGTCTATTATAATAATATATGCTAATTAGTACACTTCAAAATGATACACTGCATTATTAAAATGTCAATTTACCTTCAAATTTTCACAGCAAGAATATATATAGTTTAAGAACAATGTTACGTTAAGATATCTCATTTTGTAAAAAAAAATTTCAAGTTTTGACATCAAGAATCAAAATTTTTTGTAAATATTGATTTTTAAGAAGGAATATCCAACCCATTTTTAAAAATAAATGTAGTTACTTTGCAACAGTTCTTAAGAATAGTTCCCAACCAAAAAAAAGAATAAATATAAGCTCAATATTGGTGGGAATCTTTTAGGAGTTTGAGTTTATTTTAATAGTAAACGATTATAAAAAGGATTCGAATTTATTTTAAAGTTTTGTGTAATATAAATTTTGATTATAGTAAAGCTAATTAAGTATCTGATATAGCTTTGATTAATTAGTTGGTGTGACACTTCAGAATATCATCCAACCGTCAAATTAACTCATTGTAGCTTACTTTTCTTATTTGGTGAAATATTCTTTAGTTTCTTTATTACATTCTTACCTTTATAATTACTGTTAGACATTGTTATAATTTATAATAAAAAAAGATTTTTTTTAAAAAAAAATTATTACAACCAAATTATCTTGTTCAAGTTATGTAGATCTTACCGTATTTGAGCCACAGTAAATAATTGACAATTCATTGGTAATTAATAAAAATAACAAATGGTGATAATTGAATCGGAAAAATTTTTTTGTTTATTTTCAAATTTTCTTTAAAAATAATTATCATCGCAATATGAAGATAAAAATTACGAGCATATTTTTGGAATAGGGAAACTACGATGATCATCATCTTTGATTTTAATTTTTATATTTTTTTAAAAAGTCTTTAAATAATAGATATTTTGTGCATTGTAATGCAGTCCCGACTAATTACATCTTTAGTTGTCTGATGAGTGTTTCCCTTGATACTTTTGGTGAGGGTGTATATTGTACAACGATAACCGATCTTACTGTAGGATAATTTTGCTTCATATATAGTTACTTGAAAATATAATTTTTTAGGCGATAATTTCAGTTGCATTCCGCATAAGTGTTTTTTTTTTTATCATTCATTTATTAAATTTTACTGCTTCAGTACTTGTTGATAGAAAACAAAATGCAAATCAATCATAATTACCAAATCCGCTAGAATATTTACTTTGCCTCTGCGACAAGATTGGAGTTATTTTCAGAAACTAAATTAAAACTGGTTTGGTTTTTGTTAGTTGAAACTCTTTTAAAAATAAATTTTTGTTTTTGTTTTTTCTTTCTTAATCAAGTAAAATTTTTTTCGCTCACTTGTTTCAAAATTTTTTTGAGTTTCGACTTAGAAGATGTTTTATTAAGGTCTGGATACATAAAAACAATATAATTCTTTAATAGAATCAAAATCTATGAAAAATATTATAATGATCTAAACAATTTTAGACTGAGTGAATGTGTAGAAATGAAGACATCCTTCAAATGCAATTATATTTGGAAATTGTATTTAGTAAGGATTTTTTTTTTAAAAAAAGAAGGGATACATTTCTTCTTTGAATTATACATTCAATTACGATTCATATAAATTTTCAAACTCGTGGAAAAGTTAAATAAATTTATGTCATTGAAAATAACAATTTATATTTTTAAAAAAGAGACATCACGAGAAAATTAATGTTACACAGCTTGTATCTCGCCACTTAACCACCTCATTAGAATTGAAAATTCCGAATTAAATTTAGCTCTAGCTGGAATTGGATACTGACTTCCAACACAAATATACTTTGTAACAGGATCAAAACCATCACTATCGAAATGCATAATAGATTTATGCTTTTTTTGGTGTAATTTTTCCCATACTTATTGCTAAGTAACATTTCATTATAACTCCGGATAAAACTTTCGATTCTCGACCTTTGTAAATATTAATCGAGTACCAGATAATATCTTTTAAAATCCGTGAAATAAAACTGATCAAAAAAATTCTTATTCTGCACAACGTTAAAAAAAGCAGGTAAAAAATATCTTGATGTTTAATTTAAATTAATAATTACAGACCCCCGCCAAAAGTCTCTGAACACCATTTTTTAGGTGCGATTTCATACGGATAACGTCATGTGACTTTATAATACTGCGGTCATATGATGTTCCGGACTTTGTTTACATAAGTCAAACCTAATAAATGCGCGTTTGGTTTGTTTATTTTGACTTTAAATCAAAATA